AGGAAATATGGTAACCTTTGGTCCTGTTTTATACCAGACCATTCTTTTTCTAAGCCCTCTGTCCCCTGTCCAGTTCTGAATGAAGAACAGATTGCAAAAAGGCCAGTTTTTTTATAGATAAATAGATTGTTAGGGGCTGGAAAAGACCTTGCAGATGATCAGATCCAGCCCCTCCACTCTAGCCAGGAAGACAACGGGGGTCAAGTGACCTAAGTGAGGTGACTGTCCAGTCTCCTTTTGAAAACCTCCAGGGTAGGTGATTGCACCACCTCTGGAGGGAGTTTATTCCACAGTCTGGTTGCCCTGACTGTGAAGGAATTTTTCCTGGTATTAAGCCTGAAGCGGCCTTCCAGGAGTTTATATCCATCAAGTCCCCTCTCAACCTTCTCTTTAGGCAAAAGAGGCCCAGGTCCCTCAGCCTTTCGTCGTTATGGCTTGCCTTGGAAGTCCCTGATCATATGGGTGGCTCTTCTCTGGACCCTCCCAAGTTTTTCCACATCCTTATGTTACTTTAAATTTCAATTTATTAAAGCAAAAGCAAGACCTCATAAAGGGGGATAAGGCAAAATGCCACGTTTATTGATTATATGAATTAGACATAGAGGTTTGGACACACCAATCACACAGATACGCACAAACACAAAACAATCATTCCATTCTCTCGGGAATTATAGTTACCAGCAGCAGTTGTTCAATAATAGCACTGGGTGGCCAGCCCAGGCCTATTGAGAGGAGATGCAGATAGCAGGCAGGGTGGTTATTATGAGAGAGATTTTGGAGATTAGCAGCTTGGAGTGGGGTTAACAGATGCATCTGTGCTCTGAAGAAACAGCAGTTGAGAGACTCACCCAACTTGGCATTTTTAAAGTCCTCTTTTATAGGGATTGGCATCCTTTGTTTCAGTGCTTTGGGTTTTTTTCATACCCAGCTTCTGTTTTTACGGTTGTTCTTCATTTATCTTCAGCTTATCTTGGGCCGAGGTCAGTTTGGTTGTAAAAGTTGGTATCTCAGCTTTGGAGTGTCCTTGTTGCCCATCTGGCAGGATGCGTGCATTCCTCCTCCTTGTTTTTTCCTTCATGCCCTAGGCCTCAAAGGGATTGTTCAGCTATCTATTAATTAGCTTACTGACTGGTAACTTACACATTTGGCACCTTGTTGCTTACATAAACAGTTAAATCTTCTTTTTCCTGTCTCTCTGCCATTTTCACCATTCACCGTTTCACACACACTTGTACATAAAGGCCATGCAGAGTTCATTTGCTTATGTCAAGCAGAAGGATACAAAATGGAGTTTTCAAGTTGCTTGCAGGACAAGACTAACATGGTTACATTTCACTATAATTACACTCTATGTTAACATCAGCTACATTAGTTCAGTTCCTGCTACACTTACTGAAGTGTGGTGCCCAGAACTGGACACAGTACTCCAACTGCAGTCTTACCAGTGCTGAGTACAGTGAGAGTATTACTTCCTTAGTTTTACATGAGATGCATCGGTTGATTCATGCCAGCATGTTGTTTGCCCGTCTGGCCACCGCATCGCACTGACGGCTCATGTTCATGTGGCGGTCAATCATTACCCCTAAGTCCCTTTCAGCCATGGTGCAGGTCAGGCTGTCACCTCCGAGTCTTTATGTACGTTGAGGGTTGTTTGCCCCCAGATGGAGCATCTTACACTTGGAAGTGTTAAACTTCATCTGGTTCCGGTCTGCCCAACTCTCGAGCCTGTCCAGGTCTGCCTGTATCAGCAGCCTATCTTCTAGCATGGCCACACTGCCCCATAACTTGGTGTCATCTGCAAACTTGGTCAGCAAGCTTTTCACTCCCACATCCAATTCATTGATAAAGATGTTGAAAAGCACCAGTCCAAGCATGGACCCCTGAGGGACACCGCTGGCCACTTTTTGCCAAGATGATACAGATCCATTCGTGAGAACTCTCTGGGTCCTACCCTGTAGCCACTGAACTGTCAAGCAGCTGAGCCCACAAGCTTCCGGGTTTGCTACAAGGATATTGTGGGATACTAGATCAAAAGCCTTTTGAAAGTCTAGGTATATAAAATCTTCCTTGTCTTCCATGTCCAGGTGGCGAGAGACCCAGTCATAGAAGGAGATGAGATTGGTAAAACAAGTTAATTTCAATTAATTGATGGAAATACATGTCAGTCATTTGTCCTCACGATTCTGTTGGTTGTGCCTAGGGGTAGGGGAGTGCACAGCCAGGACGAGCAGGATTCCAAGCCAGCCAGATAGGGAGGGGGGTTTGTTTGCAGCAGCCCAGTGGCCCCCCATTTCTCACCACCGATTGGCCAAGGAGGTGGCAGCCCTGCCCCTCACTGCTGATTGGCCAAAGGGATCTTGCCCCTCACCAGGGGATGTCTTGTATTTTGGAGTTGCATCAGTAGCCACTGTAATAGAATACCTTACTTCTTTTTACCTTCTGTAAGATTTAAGGATGTTGCTTTTGCTTAAAAGCCCACTACTATTATAAATGAGGTTTTGTCATAATTATCTGATGTCAAGTTGCACAGATGTATTTGTTGCACTAGTATTTCCATTTATATATTCATTTTCAAAACTTACGGCATACATCTTAGGTAAACTCAGTGTAGCCTTTCAAAAGTTAAGATGACCTTGTATTGTCTCCTGGCTCTGTGAGAATTAGAGCTGAACTTTGCTGGGAAGCTACACCAATTATGGAGTAGCCTTAGTTTCTCAGAGAGAGATTTTGTGAGTAGTTTCTGCCAGCAAACAGAAGTGCTAAGTGCTGTTTATAGTTTCAGGCAACCAATTTCATTGTTACAGATTTAAATGATCCATGTCAATACCCTTTTAGAGTGTTCTCTCTGACTGGCCATGTGTTAAGATTATAATGTCTATTGTTCTACAAGTTGAAAGTAATTCAGATATTTAATATATTAATAGATTTTTCTAAATTGTTAATGATCACATTTTTCAGTTCTTTAATTTAGCACCCTTCCCTTTGCTATTTAAAAAAGAGAGAGAAATATACTTTCTTTTTTCCTGCTAAGTTGCAAAATACCAAATAATGTTTTGACCAAACTCTGGTTGGTGTTTGGCAATACTTAAAAGATACTTTACTCCCAGATCATTGATTTGAGAGCTCCTATATGCAACTTTCCTTGAATGCCCTCTTTCTAGTAATAGTAGGACTGATTTGCAAGGTGTGCAATTATACAGAGGTCATTGTCAGCAGGGGGTCATCTAGTATGCACATGCATATAAGCAGATATGCTTCATCCACTAACCCTTAGACTGTCTTCTTGCATCACTGTGCAACACAAATCCAATAGGTCTTGCAAAACTGTTTCTCAGGCTTCTCTGGAATGGGAGAAAGAAATCCATATTATTCCCTTCACCAGAAAAGTGGCTGTGCAGTTATGGGGTGTTTTTTCTTCCTGCATACAAATGCATTCCGGTATAACAAGCAGTGTTTACACCCTGGGTGGTAGCAGCATCTGGGTTAGCAGTGGCTAGGTCTGTAGCAACAGTAGTTGCCAGTCTTGCACCCTGTCCAAGTCAGGACCCAAGGCTGGTGCCCCACTTGCCCACCCCTAGTTATGCTTCCGAATGCACTCTGCCTGCTAGATTTTAGTTCTTTGTTTGTGAAATGACAAGAGATTATCAGTTAAGGCTGAAACTCAGTTTTTACTTCCCTTCCTGTGCCTCGTTTGAACAACGGACATTATTACCGTTATAACTTTGAATTTTCTTGCCTTTTGTTAATCTATGTCTCCCCTTCACATTATGTAGACTGAATCTTTGCATTAGATAGGAACAAGTGCTGTAGTCAATCATGAATTCATTTGTAATAGAATTTATACACAAATTATTGTCTTCTGGTTCTGTCATGGAAGTAAAGATTATGAATATCTTTTTTAATTAACCTATGATTCTTTTATTATCCTAAATTCTAAAATTTCAAGAGGAAACTATCACTTTCAGTCCAAATTAATGTAATTACAAAGACAATATTTAAACTCCAGCTGCTTAGTTCAAGACTCAGTTGACAGTTATCTCACTTGTTCAGGATAATAAAATGCAAAGATGAATACAAATGTACATTCATGTGCAGACTGAACTGGTATTTCCAGACTTCTATGTGTATTGTGGCCCAACAACAATTCACCATTTAACTAATGCTACCCCACCCTGTTAAAAAGAATAGTAATGAATGTACAGTTAAAGTCAATTGAGAGAGATTAGGAACAGACTTTTCAGTGCAGACCAGTGTTACATAATGTTATGAAACAGTAAAAAGGTGAGGACAAGCACCTAAATGTTATACTTTTCAAAAACTAGCAGCAGCACTTTGGCAAGCTGTATCTGTAAACTGTTCAGCTGCTGCAGATGTTGGTATCTTTAAAATGTGGGTAAGCTGTTTGCATGTGCAACTAAAAACAGCTTTCTGAAATTGAGGTACATATACGTGCATGTGTTATGTAGAACATACAATACCTAAAT